GTTTCTTCACTAAGTGACCATAGAATAAACAACAAGAGAGAACCTGCAACAATGTTACAAAGAAGAAGAAGTAATGCAGTTCAGACCCGACGTTTCCTCGGCAATCTGCAACCATTATGAGCTTTCCTAGTCGTGTCTTCGATGTACACTATAGGGTTCAAATCCGACCTAGAGTTGGTGAAACCGTCTCTAAATGCGACAATGGCTTTTCGCTTCTTCTTGAAATGTGTAAATCCATTCACCTTAACCACCACAGATTTCAACCCCATAGCTTTGGCTCTTCTCCCAATGTTCTCAGCGGTTGCATCAGCTGTGTAATTCGACATCTTTCTTCCACCTTTCAGATCGGGTAAACTACCGGATGTGGCCTTGCATTTCACGTTTCCTTTGGAATCTGTGACCGTGACAAAAGTGTTGTTCCGCAACATCTTGATGTGAATGATATCTGCATTTGTTTCAAGGTTTGGTCGATAGAAATGAGAAAATACTGATGAGTTTCTCCGTCCTACGTCTTCCTCTAAGACTCCTCTAACAAAGTCCATGTCGTTTGACTTCTCTCCACTGCTGCGGATATCCTCCTTGAAAAGTGAACTATTAGTGAAGTTTTGGTAGGTCGATGCACTAGGAGCCGTGAATCCGCTTCCTCCCATCTGAGTGAATGGATCAGATCCTCCGTTTGGTAATGCCGATCTCATTGGTCTGTCATCTNTGAAGGTNGGAGGAGCATTAAANGCCGAGTGATCGTTTCCTCCCCTGTTTNATAACCCCGATTTCATTTGACTGAAACTTTTAAAGGTCGAAGGATTAGAAGACGGGAAACCGTTTCCTCCTGTGTTCATCTGAGTGAATGGATCAGATCCTCCGTTTGGTAATGTGGATCTCATTGGTCTGTCATCTCTGAAGGTAGAAGGAGCATTAAAGGCCGATTGGTTGTTTCCACCCTTGTTTGATAAGCCTGATTTGATATCACTGAAACTTTTCAAGGTCGAAGCATTCGGATCAGAAGAGGAGCTGTTTCTTCCCGTGTTTGGTAAGCCTGAGTTCGTTTCAGTGTCACCAGGAACCGGCCCTCTCCCTCCTGTTCAAGGACCAAGAATCCACGAAAGACAAATAAATCAATAGAGATACATTTCAATCCCTAACTGCGAATTTTCTAAACTAAAGACTAAAGCTGTTCCACAGAAAGACATGATTAAGGAAACCATTTGAACATTAGATATTGAAATATTTTCTGGATTCACTATTTCCATCGTAATCAAAGTCTAGAATCTGAAATCAGCATACTGTTTAAGAGCCATAAGAAACTGATCCTCGAGATTACAGCGAGACTAGTACATTTACACAAATCCTATGACGAATCAAACGAATCCCTAGTCAAAAGTACACATTTTCATACCGAATGTGAAATTGTATGAATCAAGATAAACCCAGAAAGCTTATTCCCGATCCGCTAAAAAACAAAGCAAATTCGCATCGGATAAGAAAAAGATGGGAAATGACGAACCAGAGAAGCCATCTGATTGAGAAGAAAATCTACAGATCGACTTGATTCCACCATAGCTACGAATCAACGAAGGAAAAGAAGAAGCTCGAAGATGACGAGAGAGACCATTCATTTTCTTCACCTCGCAGAATTTGGGGGTTTAGGGTTTTTTCACTTTCATACATAAGTGAAACAGTTTCTTCGTCTCAATCACATAAAACGTTTAGATCTACAAATGAATGAATTCATTACAATTTATTGGGCCTTTTCCAACATGGGCCTCCCTCACCTTAAGCCCATTATGTCTTTACGAACAACAAGCGAACAAAATATGAACAAAGCAAACACACATAATTTGGCTATGTATCACTTAAAGAAAACACTTAACGTATGAGAGATTCTTGCAGATCAGAACTGACTGAGAATTTGACCCATTTCTTTCGATCAATGTAATTCAAACAAGGTTTCATCAAGAAACCAAAGATCATCATCACAAAGCTCACTATAGCCACTTTAAGAGTAGAGAGCACAACGACGAAACATATCAGTATGGTCGGAGGAACACAGATCAGTATCGAACCAATGGTTCCAACAGGAATCTTGTACGGTCTCGACGCATCCGGATGTATCATTCTCATTCTAACAAAAGCTATAAACTCCAAAATCATTCCACCACAGTAAAGAAGATTCTGTGCAGCTACAATCTCTTGGAAGCTTAATCCAGACAAGAGTAAAACACCCGAAGCCGAAAACAGAATCCCGATTAATGGTGTTCCGTAAACCGATCGTTTCGCAAAGATCTCGGGAAGCATACCGAGTTCAGCCATTCCAAGAAGCTGAAATGAATCACTACTCATTTCAGCTATAAACATTCCCATGTTTGATGTAGCTGCAGCTACTTGAACCCACAATCTTAACCATCCTCCACCGATGATTCGCGCAACTTCGGCTAAATAACCATCAGTCCATAGCTCACGGTTCAACGGTATAGCCCCGGTTCCCGACAAAAGAGGGAGGAAGTTCGAAAGCGCAACGAAGATCACAGCGTAACACAACGCCTTTGGAAGTGTGTGTTTTGGGTTTGAGACTTCACCGGTTAGTGTGCTAACCGAATCCCAATAGTTTAAGTTCCAGAAAAGAGTGTTTAGATACAAGTTCCAATCCACATTCCCTATATCCATCACAAGCCACCTCGAAGGCTCGAGCTGAGGAATCGAAATTAGACTCATTACAGCGAACGGAAGCATCGAGAAAACTCCCATAAAAACCGCGGTCCAGCCAACAATGGTTAGTCCTCTGTAATTCAAGTAAGTAAGCAATAGAGTCAACACCAAGATGGATGCAACTCTAGGCAAACCGTTAGCTAAAGCCGGGATAGCGGATTTCAAATAATCAAGGAAAAGAACGGGATACAAAGCGTTATCGATAACACCGCAAAGCCATTTCATCCAACCAACTTGAAAACCCCAAAAGGGTCCTAAAGCAGAAGAGACCCAAACAACAAAACCTCCATTGATTGGAAACATTGTGCTCATTTCTGCGGTGATTAGCGCCTCGGGGATACACCAAATGAAAGGGAAGATAATAAACCCTAAAAGAGCTAAGAATGGTCCTGCTGCATTCACACTACCTTCAGCACCAAAAGGACCTCCTGAGACTTCGTAGAATATCAAGAAAACGAGTGGCAACATCGAAACTTTACGAATCGATTTGGTTGCTTCTTTAGGCGATGAAACATCATCATAAGGATGATCATTGTTGTTATAGTCTCTCATGGTGATGATCTACAAAAGGAAGAAACAATCAGACAAATTCTTGAAAGCTTGATACGAAAGTTTAAATCTTTAGGAATAGGTGAAGAAGCACTAACCGTGAGAGAATCACTAAGCTCTGTTTTTTGAGCGAAGATGCCAAAGATTTGTTGAGAGATGCTTTAAGAATAAAACAAAACAGACCCATATCTTCATAGATCTCAAACTCTTCAAAAGAATTGAATTTTTTTTTTTTGTGGTTCTCTGTTTTGAGATTGTCCTTATCAATCAAACCCTAGATATTAATAAACTAATAGTGCTGAGTAAACAGAAGAAAAACCAATGAAGAATGAATCATTGAGAGAGATGACGAGATAAACTAATGATTTAGACACTCATGATTTTGCATCTGGGACAAAAATATGGTCAAACATGGTTACTCTGTTCTTGTACTGGTTCTTTTTGGTTTTTGTGGGGTTTTTTAATCTCTCTTTCCAATCATTAGTAATCAAAGTTTTACTCCACTGTTGAGTATTGACCTAATTTTGATTTGTTCTTTTCTGATAGAATAGGCAACACAATAATATAATTATTATTTAAAGATACCGTATATTTTGTAATTATGTTGATTGATTTTGATTGATTCCTTTGTAATGCTATATAACGCTAATGCAATATACAGAGAAGGGCACGGTTTGTGCTTCTTATTAATCAACATGGTATCAGAGCTCTTTTTCATCGTTA